GCTGATTCAGAAGCGCCAGATTGTCATAGCAAAGTCAGAATTGACCCTTTTTTTTTTTTAGAAATAGCCTTTGTGCACAGCCTGCCTTGTACTCTTCTAGGTAAAAAACTGTCGTCCATAAAATGCGTTGCACAAATTCGAACATCTGGGTTTTGCTGTTCTGTTGTAAATAAATCTTAACCAATGATTCCTAATTGCATCTACTTCCGGAAGGCCAAATAAAGTGCTTTATGCTTTCGCACTGAAACACACCGTCTCCCTGACAGGGCTGCATCAACACTACTGCTGTTCCTGAAACCACGCCTTCTTTCTTTGCCTGCACATTTGGGCGGCATTATGCTAATATTTCCACATAGTGACGTAGATATGTGGGGGCGTGTTAGAACGAGGCGTTTTAGGTAGGCGTGGTTGACTCTTAACTTTTATAAAGAATATCTCTTTGGATTTGAGACTTTAGTCTTTGCAACTTTACAGATCTTCTTTATGCACCAAGAGCTTGTAACACTCCAAAGAGAAAGGAAAACTTGAAATCGCATCATATGACCCTTTTAATATATATTTAAAGAAAAATTATTACTTCATTGATAAGAAATATATATGGTTTCTTCTAAATGAATTATTTGACAGTTATTCACTATATTTATTCCACATACCATACCATTGGGAATTTCAAACATATAATTAATCATTGATCAATTAATTAATCAAGAATTTTTATGCAACCAAATAATTATTTTTTTGATGAGGATTCTTATATACATTTTCTTTTAAGAATTTGAATTGTTTTTATTATGGCCCTAAATGAACAAAACAATCTATTAATTCTTAAATTAATTCCATCTTCCTATGTCTCTCCAAATTACATTAAATGACATTTAATCATCATATATGTTTTTTACATGCAATACCATTGAGAAATTCAAACATACAATAAATGTAAACTTATAGATATTTTGATTCAAATTGTCCAAATCTTTATGAAAGTTGCTCCATATGTCAGATTCAATTTTACATGCATTTTTGTTGCATGCAGTAGTTGTTTTTTTGTGTGTGTTTGTATCCTACAACAGTTCCTCCTTTTTTGTTTTGCATATATTTTTATTCCGTTCACTTCATCCATATCCGTGTATGATTTAGTGAGGGTAGCATGTCATTGTTGTAAAAGGGAAGCTGATGGCTATATTCTGATGCTCAGATACCCAGGTATAAAGGATTTGTTAAGCACAGTTCAGCGCAGGAAGAAAAGGCTGACCCAAAGGTAAAGCACACGTGCGTCAGCTCTGATACAGGAGCTTTTGATCAGCTCAACCATGTGGCTTCCTTTAGGTCTCACAAATGATTCATAAATGGGTGGTGTCTACACACATTTGGCTGTTGTTAGGTAGATGTGACAAAATTATGATTTGTGCTCCTTCCTGTTACTGTTATCACATGTGCAAGTGGAAGTTCATGTCCCAAGACTAAATTACTGCTTTGTATTCAGGATGCAAAAAGCGCTTATATGTGAAATGGTGCCAAACGTAGCCCATGGTTGAATTGGAACCATCTTAGCACTTGATATAGTAAACTGGCTATTGCAGAACAGATTTATGATAATACACAATACAAATGAGATCAGTCTTTGCAAAAAGATTTAGAGCAAAGATACTGACAAGGCTTTCACTAATCACCCAATACTATTGTGAAAATAAATGAATTAACACTTACTAACACTTTTTTATTAACCAGATCCAGCATGTGTCGTCTAACCTCTTGCCTTTGGATGTGTACACTAATTCTGAAACATTTCATCTCAAGTAAAACCTTTCTTTTGAAAATTGACCTATACAAAGTAATAGATCGATTTGTGAGTGGGTTGAATGACGCAGCATTTTTCTTAACGTGGGCCAGTTTCAAAATGGGCTTTTTAACAACCTACTTTTCTTGTAAGTTATGTGAGATGCTCTTTACTTTGAATCTTTTAATCGTCTACTCTTAGGAATTTCCAGATAAATTTTACTTGAGAATGTCATGTTTTAAAAGCACTTGGTCAAAGGGAACAAATTTTTCTTTGATTTTTATCTCATTATTTTTGCTCATTATGGAACCTCACTTTTGTACACATAGCACTTAATCTAAAAATGGGCAGCTGTTGGTTCCAAACTGAATCGTACAGGCAGTAACTTTACATGAACATAGCAGATGATGCTTATTGTTCATCTTGATTGCATTAGGTGAAATCTGGCGCTTATGGCCTTGTGGTGTTATTAGAGCATGTTGATAATATTGCGACTTTCCCATAGGCTGGAGACAGCAGACCTGGTGAAACACTGGGGCCTCAGAAGAACAGAGGGTCTGTTCAAGTGTCTGAAGGGTCAGAGGAGGGGTTAGGTGATGGGAAAAATCTCCCCACCACACTGAGGAGAGCACTGGAGTTTGGACTGGAGGATGAGGATGAAGGAGACTCATTCTTTGATGATCCTCTTTCTAAACCTCAAAAGACCTATGGCTGGTAAGGATACCTTCACTAGGAGAAATCATCAATTATGTCTTCTCTTGTGGACCGGACACACTGACAAAGTAACAGGAAGTTTTTTTTTATCGAAAGTAGGAGATTTGAGGTGATGCAAGTGACAAACTGTTGATATATAGGCATGCCACTTAAAAATAAAATGAAGAAATAAATTAATAGAAAAAATAAATAAAATAATAGTCTAATTAAAAACAGTAGTGTGAATATATAAATCACTACTTAAATTGACAAATAGTGTTTATTTCATTTGTTTACAATTTTAGTTAAATGTAACAATAAAATACTGCAAAAAAAATTTAATTTATACAAATATTGCCACGTGTGAACTGTCCAATGGCAGTTTTTTTTTTATTTAAATGCCAGAAAGAATACCATTTAGCAAAAGGATAATGAAAAGCAATTTGTAAATGCTATATATAAAAATGAAAAAAGAAACGTCAGTGTGAAATGCCATTTATCAAAGTCCTAGTTTGACACTAATAGTGGGAGCAGATTTCCATTCAGAGCTTTGAACAAGGACTGTTTCAGTGCCCACATGTTCTACTGAGACTAAAAGAGCAAGTAAAAATGAAATGATCTAAACCGCTGGCACCTTTGACTGTAATTTCAGAAGCATAGATCTGGGTTCTTCATGTTTTTGAAGCTCATAACTGTAGTTCATTTTTTACTGTGTAAATATGACAAGCACCCACCCTTAAGTCACAATTCTGCTCTTAGTTAAAATACAGAGAAGTGCTTTTATTTTTTCTGACCAGTATCTTCTCCTTTTTACTGTTGTCTCTTAATGCTGCACGTGAAAACAGTGGTTTATCTTTGGCAGATAAGCCTTATTCAGGTCAGAAGGAGTAAGTACTTCCTGTTTTCATTTTGTATTCGCATTTTAGTATGATTTTGACTATGACCGATAACGGGTAGATTTTGGAGCTTTGTTGTATGTTGCACCATGTCCCTCTTTTGCTTTTTGTAGCTGCCACTCTCTTTCCCTCTTTCTGTAACTGTGTCTGTGCTCTGTATGTGTTTCCCCCCCCCTGTGAGAAGTCAGCACTGGCAGAGGGAAGGAAGCCTGTCAGGGCGATCCTTATCCCAAATGAGGAGGGGCACTAGCCTCAATGAGTGAGTGTGCATGGAGTGATCACACTGCCATTCAAGCCCACTGCATCCATCTTAACCCATGGGTGCAGAATCAGGCTGTTTACTCCAGTTGGGGCTGTTCATGTTCATACAGCAGCAGAATACTGTGGTCAGTCCAGTTTTACAGAGTTAACTACCGTTGTATTCACGCACACTTTGGATTAAACAAGAGTAATAATCGTTTTCAACATCTTAATTGGCTCCCTTAAATTATCAAGACTCACAGCCACATTTAATAAAACTGATTAAATGATGTCACATTTATTAAATAATGTCTTGTTAAATGTGATAAAAAAAAATTCAATGTTATGAACATAGCAATTTTTCATAGTTACTTTTGTCACTTTCGTTACAAGTGTTGATTACAACTAGCTTGGCTTTGTTCGTACAAACAATATTTGATCCACTGCTGAAAAATGTCAAATGAACCAGGGGTATCGCTATATATAAATGACATTCAGTGCTTATATATATATATATATATATATATATATATACACACAGTATATATATGTGAAATGTAATTATGAAATAAGGATTTATTTAACTATCATTATTTTGTTATTATCCTTATTTTTATTGATTTCATTATTTTCATATTTTTTAAGCTATCAATGGTACAATGCTAGATAATGTAAAAAAAAAATAAAAAATAAGAATCATTATCATTGACATCATATGGCTGCTTATATCGCTTATGCTTGTCTATTAATTACCCAGCCAAGATCCAGCGACGTCCCTGTATGAACACGACTTTTAATAAATATAGTTGTCAAATACTGCCTGTGTGAATGTGGCCATTATTATACCATAACATTTCAACCTTAACACCATTACCTGATATTGTCAAAAGGAAAATCCAGCAACCAAAAGTACAGGAGTAGGGCAGTGACTACAAACACAATTGTATGTATGTGTGTTTTTTTTGTTTTTTTTACCTTTGCCCTTCTCCTTTCTTTCCTTCTCTGCATTTGCTCTGCATGTTTTCTTTATTTCTCTCTCCCTCAATACCTTCTTCTTGGTTTTATGTGTATATGTATGTGTGGATGAACATTCTCTTGCTCTGTCTGGCCTCAGCCTGTCTGCTATTGGCAGTGATAATTGGCAGGAGATGGAGAGGACATGCTCTCTGACTGTGATAACAGGCCCAGCCCTGACTCTGAACCTAGGTGAGCTGGGCCTTTTCCTGTCTGTCTCCTGCCATAACTTCTCTCTTCCTTCACTTCTCATTATATGGCTGTCAGCTGACTTCAGGAAGAGTCTCATCTGGTCTGTTTTCCAGGAGAGAAGGCTTGGGCAGCAGTTTAGGGAAAGCATTCACGGCAGACACGCAGCTAAAGAGTGCGGGAGGATCTCCTGAGAGCAGCCAGAAAGATCATTCATCTTACAAAAATGGTAGCAAACCATTTGTGAAATCAATCAAGATTCTTTCTCAGATGATTCTGGATCGATCCAAAATTTTACATGAACTTTTCCCCCAAAAACTGCAAATGAAGGGTTAATTGAAGCGACATGTATAATATAAAAGATAGAATAAAGGGAATAAAAGTATTTGCACATGAATTAGGCCATTCTGGACAGTTTCCATTACACCGAATGAGAGCTGCTTCTGATGCTGTTATACGTGCTATTTTTTGTTTGTGGGCAGAGTTGACATATTTTAGTATGCCATTTATGCATAATCTTACACATAATTTAACCCACCAAAGGTTACTAAAAAAAATCGGAAAACATCATGAATCATCAGAGTGGGATTGTGACTTTCTGGATCGAAATTGAATCAACTCATGAGATGCTTAAAGATTTCCCTAACTGATATGTATTTGACACTAATTAATATCTTTTCTCCATAATTACTGTCTTAGGTACGTCTAGTTCTAAAGATAAGGGTGTAAAAGAGTTTCCCGCTCCAAATGAGAAAACTGCATCCCCTTTGCTGGGTAGGAACTCCTCAATAATATGTTCAATATTTTTTGAACCATCAAATCAAAAAATTCTACTCGCTATCACATTTCTCCTGTTCAAAAAAATAATGCTTTGCAGATGAAGATCTTGACTATGACGATGACTTCAACAGGTAAAGAACATGCCCATCAGCCGTTTCACTGGTCTCATGTTATTTTTGCTCGTTCTGAATCCTGATTAAGTTTTGTCATCTCTATAATTTCTCTTCAGTCATCGTTCTGAAAACTCTAAGAGTGAAGTGAGCATCGATGAGGAGATTGAGGAGGTGTCGATAGAGGGACCTGACATCAGCGATAAGGTATTGTTTTCTCCATCCTCAAAAACGTGCCATTATTTGTGTTGACATTGCTTGTTTCAAAAGGAGTTTAAATGACTGTGGGTCTTGATCATTTTCAGATGAACTGTTCCGTTATTAAGCTTGTAAAGAAATGATTGACATTTATAATCCAGTATGAATGCAACATTGATGTGGTTATTCTTAATGTCAGTTAATTATGGCCCCACTTTTCACAATTCTATGTGAAGAGGGACAAATGTCAACAGAGTGGCCGCATGGATAAGAATGCATTGTGTAAAAGGCAAGAAGTGAGAGTGGCATGTTTTGTTAATTGCAAATATGGGTACTTAAAAGGGCCCGATGAGGCAGTGAGAGGAAGTGACATAAGTACTCAACAGTCTGGTTTCACAGACAGATCCTAAGCCTGGGATACACTGCAAGATTTTTGGCTGTCCCAGACGAAAGATTGCCATCATGAAGCAATCCTGGTGATTTCTGTGATCGTGGCTCTTAATCTGTGCTCCTGTCGTACAGTGAGAGAGGTTCAAAGATGGGCGTTTTCCCGGTCTTGCGACCAAAGATAGCCTACGATAGTTTTCTGACAGTGTCAGAAATTCAGCATGATCAACGCACAGTGTGTTTGCTGCTATGACCTGCGTCTACACAGCAGCCAATGAAATTGCAACATGAAATGACATATTGATCCACGCGACCAGCGGCGCTACAATTTAAATGCCATGGAGGCAAAAAAAGGAGAAGGGTCTGGCTGCAGACTTGCACTTGCACTCTCAGACACTTGCGCTTCCGCAATTGACATCACTTGCAGTCTTTTTTATTTTTTATTTTGTTCTATTTATTGATTACTTTTTGTTTGAACCTCTCAACATTTTACAACAGTAGCCAGGTGGTGAAGACAAGATAAAGACTGCAAGTGACGTCGCTAGCGGAAGCGCAAGTGTCTGAGAGTGCAAATCTGAGAGTGCAAGTGCAAGGCTGCAGCCAGACCCTTTTGGAAAAAAGTAGAAGGTATACTGGTATGTGGGATACCCATAAAGAACAAATTCATGTTGAGTTGTGGCAGCTGAGGGCATGTTTGTACGATGTGTCCTCTAGCTGCTATCATGACCGCACCAAAAAGGACATAGCATGGAAGGAGATAGCGGAGGAACTGCAGCTGCCAAGCTCCCTGTGCAAAACTGGCATCCCAAGTTGTCCTCTTTTCCCGAGACATGAGCGGGTCCATATTGCCCTCTTCCACCGCCGCCTCTTCTTTGTTTCAGTGCACATGAAAAGCACAACTGCCAAAGCACGATCCATCTTGATGTACCGGTATTTGTTTACCACTAATGCATGCTGATGACGTTGCGCTAACGTGTGTCGCAGCCGTCGCAGCCTACGATTCAATAGGTGTCATCATCGTACAGTCTACATGCTTGTCGTACCCAAGTTTAAACGATCCATGTCGCACAGTGTGATAAAGTAATGATCTTATAGGATTGCTAAAATCGTGCAGTGTATCCCGGGCTTTAGACTAATCCAGGATTAGGCCATAGTTCAATAATTTTTGTAAACAGGCCTTAGAAAAAAAAAAGACTGGTTTGCATCTTGAGACAAAACAAGGGCACTGACATATTTTAGTTTATTTTTAATTTATTTGTACAGGGACAACGCACAACAAAAGTGTTGTGCCAGAGTTAGCTATAAAGCTAATTTGCATCTGCAGTCCCTGGGCAGGATGTTGATACGAAATTACAATATTCAGTCACAAACAATACAATACATACAACACTTACAATATACAATATTTTAAGATCAATCGGTGCTAGTTTCTTTCAGTTGAAACCGCTCAGGGTTAAGCCTTGTCTGTGTAACCGGGGGATAGTATAACAAAAATAATAGCCTTTGGTTTAACCTTGAATGTGATTTTGGATCTTATTGACTCTAATTCTTATCATTTTATTTGGTTTCTCTCACTTTCTTTTTTCAAGCTTGATGAAACCACTCAGGATGTGAGCGTCTCGCAGATAAGTTTGGGTGCCGACTACATGGAAGATGTTGCCTGACATCTAACTGTCAGTTCCATATTTTATACTTTATGTATTTATGGATTTAGTTCACAATAAATAATTAAGTACAGTCTGACTGTTGACTCTTCCTGTTTTTTTAATTACCATTTAAAACAAAACAAAAGGACAGAAATGAAAGGATAGCAAATTGTGAGTTCTCTTGTTTAAAATAATACTAGAGTCATTGAGTTGTGTTTTAATGTCAGTGAAAGTGTTACAGAAATCACAGTGAAATTAATCTTCAACCATGAATAAAGTGCTAAAGGTGAATGTCTGTTGGATATTTCTGTTTGAGGCATAGCACCAACCTTTTACATGAAACCATAATCTAAATGGTACATGTGTCAGACAGCTTTGATGGTCTGACACTCACACCTACATGTTCCTATACAGCGCTCTTTAAGCGGCAGTGAAGTGCCTCCTTTTGCTCAGGTCAGATAATTGTCATTCTTATTACGCAGCTGTGCCCTGCCCAAGTTGTCTTTCCTCATCAGAAACCAGAAGGAACAGAAACCTCTCACTGCATTCCATTAGACTTGTTTGTGTAGATACTGGTAAGTCGCTTCTTTTTTCCGCTTCAGTCACATGTTACATTTTTAGATGGACATAAGTCAGTGCCTATTTGTTTTAATACCTATGTATTTAATTACCTGAACTGTAGATACATTATTTATGCTAGTCTTGGTGTTGTGGGCAACAAATTTGAATCAATGTAAATTTGAAGGCTTAGTGTGCAGGATCTGCATTTAATTGAGACACTTGCAGTATAAAAACTGATATTTGCCCACTGAGAGAAAGATAAAGTTTGTTGCTCTATAAAATTATATATAGATAGATATAGCATGATCTTTTTTTATAGCAATGAATGAAATTGCATGATTCTTCTGTATACATGAACATTAAAAAAATATATAAAAAAAACTCTATAAAAACTTGCCTGGAAATATTTTTATGCTTAAGTTTTCCTGTGTGCATGAAGCGGACACGCCGTATGTGTTCTTATTTAATTAAGACAGTCTTTATAAAACAACTGTGACATACAAACATTACAAAAATGCTTATTTGGTTTGTAAATTGTTTGGATTTATGGTAAGTAAAGAGTGCTTTTCATTGTATTTTTGTGTTTTTTACAATTGGATGTGTTTTCTTGAACCTATGAGGCATGATGTTATCAATTGCCTAGTTTTTCATGCTTGATGCTTGTTATAAAACTTATGAATGCATAGAAAGAAGTACTTTTGGTTGAGAAATGCTACACTTTTCTAAACTAACATCATGTTCAGGACTAATGGCCAGTAAATATTTGCTGTATGCATTGAATCTCTTGATCTGTACGTTACCTGATTTTCTGCTGATTTCCTCTTTCTGTAAGGGTAAAATGTCAAACTACAAAGCAACATTTGCACTGAGAGCTTTTCCTTGGTGTGGAATGAATTGTTGGATTTACCCTAATCTGTCCTTTAATTCACACTCACATTTGTACAGAATATTATATGGCAGTGGCAAAATGATGACAAACGTCTGCCTCCTCATTCTTAGGGAAAATTAGGAATACATCTCCTTTATTATTTAAACAAGCAGTAACACTTTAGTATAGGGACCAATTCTCACTATTAACTAGTTGCTTATTAGCATACCTATTATTAACATATTGGCTGTTTATTAGTACTTATAAAGCACATAGTCTGCATGACCATATTCTACATCCCTAATCCTACCCAGTAACTAAACTTAACAACCACCTTACTATTAATAAGCAGCAAATTAGGAGTTTATTGAGGCAAAAGTCGTAGTTAATGGTTTGTTAATTTCATTCAGGCAGCTTCATCTTGACAAGTGAACTCTGCCATAAAATTAATTTCACCAATTCATTTTGATTTTTTTCTTACTTTACAGTCTCAAAGGGAGAAAATGGATGAATTTGAAAACAACAGCACAGACTACAACTACACCGACTTCTATAATGATATAGTGGAACCGTGTTCAATGGACCGCAGACAGGACGTGGAGAACTTCCTCCACTTTTTTGTTCACCCCATCATTTGTTTAGCTGGTTTCATTGGCAACGCCCTCGTAATTGTGACGTACGCTCTCTACAAGCGAACCAAGTCCATGACTGACGTGTACTTACTGAACGTGGCCATCGCTGACATCCTGTTTGTGGTGGCCTTGCCTTTGATAATCTACAGCGAGCAGCACGGGTGGTCCATGGGGGACTTGTCTTGCAAGCTGTTGCGTGGCATCTACAGCGTGAACCTCTACAGTGGCATGCTGCTCCTGGCTTGCATTAGTGGAGATCGCTACCTTGCCATCGTACAGGCCCGCCGTTCCTACCGGCTGCGTTCAAGCACTCTGCTTTACAGCCACCTGGTCTGCGCAGCCGTCTGGTTGTTGGCCTTGCTGCTGTCACTGCCCACCTTTATGTTTTATGAGCGTTACCAACCCGGCCCAATGGAATCCAGCTTCTTAAGCAGTGACGACCAGAATTATGTGTGCTTTTTCATGTTTAAGTCGAACGAAACTGCACGTGTGATGAAAACTGTGGTGCCCAGCTCTCAGATTGCGTTGGGTTTCTTCTTGCCACTGCTGATCGTGGGATTCTGTTACGCCAGTGTCATTGTCACCCTCCTTCGGGCCAAGAACTTTCAGAGACACAAGGCAGTGCGTGTGGTCCTCACTGTGGTCCTTGTGTTTGTGGTCTGCCATATGCCTTATAATATGGCGCTGTTGTATTATACCATCAACATGTTTGAACTGCAGGAATGCAGCCATGAGGAGTCTGTTGCACTGACCATGACCATCACGAAAAGCTTGGCGTACCTGCACGCTTGTCTCAATCCCCTGCTGTATGCCTTCATCGGAGTGAATTTCAGAAACCACTTCCGGAAGATCCTACGGGACATCTGGTGCTTGGGGAAGAACTACATGTCAGCGAGACGCTCCTCACGGGCCACCACTGAAATTTACATTTCCACGCGCCGCTCTATGGATGGCTCGTACAATGACAATGGCACTTCGTTTACCATGTGATTATGCGCTAATTAAGGGCAAAGTGCCCAGCATTTTTACTGACAGACTGATTAGCATTGATCAAAAATGGAAATTCAGTCATCAGTTATTCATCTTCATGTTGTTCCAAACCTGTATGACATTGTCTTTTGTGTTCCACAAATAAAGAAAGTCATACTTATTTTTTATTTATTTATTTATTTTATTTTATTTTAATTTGTTTGCCTGGGACAACATGAGGTTGAGTAAATGATGGATAAATTATTCATTTAAATTTTTTTTAAAGAAATTATGCCAATTACAAACCATAAAGGGAAAATGGCTATTCCTTGTTTCTATGTTAAAACAGCAAAGTGTAAAAAGTCTTCTGTATATCAATGAATTTTGTTATTGACATGCTTCATATGTAGTACTAATGCAGGATATTTTTTATTTTTCTAGATGTACTATTTACCTTTTGTACATAGAATCTTTAACATTGCCTAATGTATCTGAGATATAAACATTGTAAGTTTTATCTAAATAAATTAGGCAAAATACTGCAACACAATAACAAAAAACTGAAATGAGATCCAGTGCTGAGAACCAACTGTCTCACCATCTTTTTTTTTTTTATAACCTTTTAGGTTATTTATTTTTTTAATTATTAACCTTGTAGGTGTTTGTGCTGCAATAATGCATGCCTAATTTATTTCTCATCTGGTTAACGGTTTTTTTTTCATAAGTTAAAAAAAAAAAATCCTTTCAAAATAATCACAAGTTTTAAATGATATTGAAAGTCTTGTACATGTCATGACCTTTGAAACGTTATCTTATCTTTTACCTGTATACAGGTTCTTTTTGCATAACAGTCCTCTACAAAAACTAGTTCCTTCCCCCAAACAGTTATCTTTTGCATATCTGATCATCACTGACAGGACCGTTTTACTGCCATAGCTTTTTAAAAATTATTTAATTAAATAGAACATTTCTTTCATCATGTAAGTTTCACAGAATTGACCTACACTAGCTACAGCTTGCTTGAGTAAGAACTTCTCCATTACTGAAACAAACACAGAACAATGTACTTCTGTGTTTTGTCACTGTACCATAGCTCACTTCAACAGTCTGTAATTCTAAAGTGGATATACAGTGGCATGAACACACAATGCAATGATTCATAGAACTCAGACTAAATGAATGATAGGCAATTTTAGAGAGTAGTAGAAAGGTTTTTGTTTTGTTTTTTAAGAAAAAAAAAAGTCAATGTCCAGTGCTGTTTTGGACCCCACTGACTTGCTCTGTATGGATAAAATATTCAAAACATTTTTCGAAATATCTTCTTCTGTTTTTCACAGAAAATAAGAAAAATAATTTTATACAGGTTTGCAACGACATGATGGTCATATCATGTTTGGGAGAACTATTAATTTAAAAAGGATTATGTGATTCGCAAAATGCTTTTTTGTTTCATGTTAAAATTAGAGGCTGAAGTAATTCAGGTGAGTGCTGAGGACTCCGTAAAAGCATCCTCTGTTGCCCCCTATTGATATTGAAGAGCATGAGAGCACAGTGTCAAGAGAATTATTTTTAAATTATGTTTTATACTTGCCGCTCCATACCAACAAGCTATAAAATGAAACAGAAAAGAAAGACAAACATTACCATATTTTCAAGTAAGCTATTATTTTATTAAAATATTGGGGAAAATCCCATCGTGTACAAATCTGTTAGGCTACTTGTGAAAAATCATAACATAACTAACAAAAAAATATCGTTATTCTCTGAGATTTCGTATTTGTTGGTAGGGGACTGGCTTGAGAAAGAAATGACAAAACAATATATAAAGAAATTAACTGGGGTAAATATAACACATTCTTAACAATCTGTCATAATGTTGGCTAATTGTCATCTGCCTGTGATATACCCGGTGCGTTAGAAGGAGCTGCTTTAACTGGGCTTTGCTAAAATACGACGGCTTCTGGTTAGAAAGTTTTTTTTTTTTTTTTTTTGTTAAGTAGGCTAGCCTAGCTAATAGATTAAATCATTAACTTGTCTTTAACGGGATGAAGAACAAGCGCTGTAGCATCGTTAGAGC